TCATTCATTTTAAAATTCTATAGTAAATCTCTTAATTATAAATAGGATAAATTACAAATACACACCCTGAGGTTTGCTTAAAGTACATATTGCTCCCTGTAATTTGAAAAATTATAAATACCCCATTGTTAGATTTTTTATTTAATAAAATTAACTAAAAAATAAAATTCATAATTGCTCTCTTATACAATAATAAAATGACCTAAATTATTAATTGAAACATATTTCTAACATTATTAAAAATTATTAATTGACTTGATGATTTATTAATAGAATGAGCTATTTGTTATGAAATTAGAAATCTCAGGAAATGAAATGTAATTTTCAAAATCACAAAAGATGATTCATATTTTAATCAAAGCTTAAGGGATGTATTTGTAATTTACCCATATAAATATTACACAATCGTCTCGTCTTGGAAATAATGCAATTGTGTAGTTTTAAAAATGCGGTGATAAAGTGATATTTAATATTGGCCATTAATTTTAAAATAATGTTTCAGATATAGTAATTATACAAATATCTTATTTAAGTGATGCAGCTGTGTAGTTTTAAACTAGGTAAATTACACTAATATCCAATGACATTTGGAAAAAAATATAATAAATTTCAAATTTTTTACATAAACATAATAATAAATAAGAAAAAAAATACATTTTAATAAAAACTGAAGGGACTAAATATAAATTGAGCAGGTTCAAATATTGGACCGACCCAAACCCATATAACCATCTAACATGGGCCAGATACCTACGTGAGCCAAATTATATTGAGTCCAACTCCATATGGATCATCCTCTCAAGTCCTCAAACACTTGGGACAAGCTCATAATGATAGGACTAGTCTAGACGAGGTACTAAGCTGAGCCGAACTGATGGGCCATACCCATCAGCAGACATGGAAGTTGTGAACACATGCATGTGCAAAATGCCACCTTAGCTGATCCCCCATCCCTAGAATCACGAAAACAATTGTAGAGAGAATGCGAGATACACAGTTATAATGAGCATATGCCACCATGGCTAATATGTCACAACCCAAACCCAATACCTATAGGTTAAGTGTCATAACAAGACAAAATCTGAGGCCATAACCAATTAATAATACAATGGAATAAAATAAAAGGGTACCCAAATATTTATTTAATTAAAAATATACATTGTAGCTTTTATTTGGAATGATCTAAATAAGTGCATTTTTTGAATTTTTACGAAAATATGTGCAAAAAAATAGAAATGGGATGTGACCCAAAAAAGATAAAAAAAATAAAATGTGTGCTTATATAGCACACCCAAACAAGCTCTAACATTGCCAAAGTTAGACTATATTTACAAAGTGCATTGTGTCTATCCCTTCCACTGGTCCTGCTACTTCACCTGAAAGGGTTTAACAGTTATAAACACATAGCAGGGTAATGAATATTATATTAAGAGCATAAGAGCACACAAATCACCATAGATAATTATTTAGGTTGAACAATGAATAGTTCGGTTTGAATAAATAAATTATTTTAAATAATAGACCTATAATATAGAAATTATATAAGCGAAATAACCATAACCATGATACAGAACAGAACGGAGGTCAATGGATCTATGATAGGCGGAGGGCCACAAAGTGACAAATCAGAGAGCTAGTGGTTATTTAAGTCCCCCAAAGTATGAGACCGCCAAACGGTCACTAAAGTAACTAATCAGAGGGCCAAAAGACGTTTAAGCCCTCTAAAACATGGGACTTATGTGGTGGCACTTACAAAACAATTATTCAAAAATATATTTAATAGACAGTTATATTCATGGATTTTCATTTTTAAGCGAACAGGGTTCATAAAAATAAATAACATAATTGTGATGGTAACATAATTTAAAAAGTATGATTTGCATAAAATAATAAATAATTTTATGATTACTCAAAATATAATATAACTTATTTTAATATTGATTCTAAACTTTTACTTTTCATTCACTGCTATCCATTACATATTTTCAAACTAAACTTACTTATCTTAATATTGATTCTAAACTTTTACTTTTCATTCACTGCTATCCATTACATATTTTCAAACTAAACTTACTTATCTTAATATTGATTCTAAACTTTTACTTTTCATTCACTGCTATCCATTACATATTTTCAAACTAAACTTACTTATCTTAATATTGATTCTAAACTTTTACTTTTCATTCACTGCTATCCATTACATATTTTCAAACTAAACTTACTTATCTTAATATTGATTCTAAACTTTTACTTTTCATTCACTGCTATCCATTACATATTTTCAAACTAAACTTACTTATCTTAATATTGATTCTAAACTTTTACTTTTCATTCACTGCTATCCATTACATATTTTCAAACTAAACTTACTTATCTTAATATTGATTCTAAACTTTTACTTTTCATTCACTGCTATCCATTACATATTTTCAAACTAAACTTACTTATCTTAATATTGATTCTAAACTTTTACTTTTCATTCACTGCTATCCATTACATATTTTCAAACTAAACTTACTTATCTTAATATTGATTCTAAACTTTTACTTTTCATTCACTGCTATCCATTACATATTTTCAAACTAAACTTACTTATCTTAATATTGATTCTAAACTTTTACTTTTCATTCACTGCTATCCATTACATATTTTCAAACTAAACTTACTTATCTTAATATTGATTCTAAACTTTTACTTTTCATTCACTGCTATCCATTACATATTTTCAAACTAAACTTACTTATCTTAATATTGATTCTAAACTTTTACTTTTCATTCACTGCTATCCATTACATATTTTCAAACTAAACTTACTTATCTTAATATTGATTCTAAACTTTTACTTTTCATTCACTGCTATCCATTACATATTTTCAAACTAAACTTACTTATCTTAATATTGATTCTAAACTTTTACTTTTCATTCACTGCTATCCATTACATATTTTCAAACTAAACTTAAAGTTTTATCACATTTGAAGAGAGAGAGAGAGAGAGCCAAAAGTAAAAGAAAGGGAGACAGAGAGCTTGAGAATGAGATGTGGAGACACGATTTGCAAATTGATGGATATATATATTAGTTTACAATGGCTCGTGCAAGGCACGCGCTATTAGTACAGTATATTTAAATTTTATATTTTGATAATTTTTTAAAAGTTAGAATATTGTTGTATGAAATTACATAGAATAAATCATTAAATATATGATAGAATTATATGGTATGATATGTATTATTTTTTGATTTGTTATACACTTAATGATGTAGATTTCAATTCTATTACCATGTCATTTTGAGTGAATTTATAAAAAAAATTATAATTTAAAAAAAATAAAATTACGCGTGTAACCTTTCTTAATACATAAATATTAAATAAATATTAAGATAATTCCTCCATCTAAAAAAAACTACTAAGATAATTAATTGAATTAATAAAGAAACAGAAGAAAATACATTTATATACAAGTGGTTAATTTATTGATACATAAATCATACTTGAATAACAAATAACTAATTTTATTAATAAGTAATCATTAAGTAAATTAATAATTTTTAATGATATTAAATATATTTTTCAATTAACCATTTTGTTAATAAATAAATTATTAATTCAATTAATAGTTTTTAATGATATGAGAAATATTTTTCAATAAATAATTTTGATAATTTATTATTACATTGGAGAATAGTTTTTTTTTTTTTTAGTATTATGTTAAATTAAAATTTATAACAAACGATAGTTGTAATTTATAGTATTATAGGACTTATTCATATTTTAAAAAAAATTTATGGGTGTGTTTGTAATTTGTTAAAAAATAAAAAATTTATATTTCATGATTGGGTAAGAACGTTTACGTAATTACACTTAAATTGTTTCGCCAACCAAATTAAAGTGTAAAATAATAATTTCAAAACAAACAAAGGACAAAATAGGGAAAAAACATGACAAGTCACGGGCAGCAAACCGCCTCATATATATCTACTAGGGTATGCCCGTGCCTAAAGGCACGGTGAAAATATTATTGGAATGAAATTGTAATTGGAATGATTTTATGATTTTAAGCAAATAATAAAATGTAAGTCCCACAACACAAACATATAATAAAAATCAAATGAAATACGTCAGTCAGTGCTCTGCAATAGAAAAAAATAAACTATAAATTAAGCGCACCAGTCAACGCTCAGCAATATAAAGAAAATGTCAAATAATAAATTAAGTACATCAAATAATATTCTATAATACAAAAAAAAGACAAATAACAAATTAAGCATGCCAATCAATGCTCTATAATAGAAAAAAAAAATAACAAATAAAAAAATGACAAATTAAGCACACCAATCGTACGTTGCAATTCAAAAAAATATATATATATAAAAAATTGTGTAATAAACAATTATTTTAAAAGATTAATACGTACACAATCCAATGCTATATTAAAAGCAACACCCTTCCTGATAAAAATATATATGGAAGCAAAAAATCAAATTCAACCGAAAAAAAATATGAAGTTTTCTTTAAGCTAATTCAAGAGCATATTAGGAGGAAAAAAGAAAAAAGAAAAAAAGACTATAGCACCAAGTGAATAATTCAAATGAATATTATATAACATACATCTAAATCGATATGAAAGGCTTTACAAAACTAAAATTTACATCGATATAAAACTTTACAAAATCTAGATCGTAGCTAGCAAATGTACGATTTTCACAAAAATAAATATGATTTTCAAACTTGTTCTTTCTTAGAATTCCTAAGAGCGCCTCATCACTTTCAAAAAGTATTTGTTTCAACTTCTATATATCCCCAATGAGAAACATGCACGACAATCTAGTAATTTATGAAAATAAAAAAGTTAGTTTATTAGTAGAAGAAAATCTATATAAATATCAAAACACTTTTAAATTGAAATTATCTTGTTACATCCCCATCAAAGCAATCTAATTGTATTTATCTTTTTGAGGTCCATATATTTTTTAACCCAATCCTACAAAAGTCAACATATATAGCAAAAAAATTTTAAAATAATAATTTGTAATCAATAGAAGCAAATTTGTCAATAAATAAATTGTACCTTTTGACAAAAGTGATTTGATCCATAAGTAACACTACAACAAAATTTAAAGATAAACAATGTTTGTAGTAGAATCTAGCTCATTGTTGGGAAGGAAGACACTTGTACGATCAAAAGATGCGCATCTAGATAGGGCCACGTACAGTTGTCCATGACTAAACACTGGTGTGCGCAATAAAAATATATGTATTTAGAAAGCTTAAAAAATACAGCATTTAAAAAAACATTCTATATAATTAAATTGGGCCTACCTCTCGAACCCGGATGACATTAAGGTCATGCTCATCACGAATGACAACATTAGCATTTCTTTCTTCAAGAAATTGAACCTATAAATACAAAAGAATTAGAGGTAAAAAAAATTAAAAAATGTATGCATGTAAGAAAATGAGTAAAAGGAGTCGATATTACAGTTTCACATAGGTCTCCATCCATCTGTAAAATATAAGAAAAGAGCATTTTGTTATAAGGAAATTAGATAAAAAAAAAATAATGAAAAGAAAAGAAAATTGACTTAGACTTATAAGAAAGGTGTATTTTTTTTTTCAAATAAATTAAAAATAAAACAACTTACATGACTAAAAATAGTAATGTTGTCCATAATTAGAAGTTAAAGGTCAAAAGTGTCTCAACCTGAAAATGTCTAGTTATGTAAATTTGAAAAAGATAACTGTAAGAAAGCAAAATGAGATTTAATAATTGTCATAAAAAAAATTAATCGACACAAAATTAACAACCTCCTAGCATACTTATAACATACAACCAACTTTAGAGTTTGTATCAATTTTTGATTTTTTGATAAAGACACTAAAAAAATATAAAGAAATATTATTCTTCTTAAACAACTTATAACAATTTTAGTAGCAAATCGGATAATAAAATATAAAAATTAATTTCAAAGAGAGGGTTGCAATAAAGATGAGAAGAGCAGGTACATAAACAAAATACAAAGGGAAGAATAAGAGGTATGTAAAGTACAAAATAAAAAGTATGCTCGTGCGTAATGACACGATGTGAATAATATTGAGATCAAAATGTAGTTGAATACAAATGTAATTTATTGAAAAACATACAAAAACCTTAAGACATTGAGAAATATAAAGAAATATTGTTTTTAAAACCCACACTCTGCAATTTTGTTGGTACCACACACTCTACAAAGCTCAATTAAAGATAACAACCCCTAAGCACGGGTATATATATTTGTTTTATTATTCATTCGTTACCAAATAATACCAGCCATTTAAAAATTAAAATTAAAAATAAACAATGCACACCAACCAGTGTTTTGCAATACCAAAAAATTATTAAACACCAAATGAAGCACACCAGCCAATGCTCTGGAATCCAGAAAAATAGAATTCAAAATATATATAACAAACAATGCACACCAGCCATGACTCTACAATACCAAAAAACTAAATTTAAAATAAATAGTAAACAATGCACACCAGCCAGTGCTAAGCAATCTAAAAAAAATTAAAATTAAAATTAAATTGACTTCAAGCAAGTGACTCCATCCTATTGTGAAGAAATAACAAATAAATAAATAACAACGTACAAAGTAGAGATAACAAATATCACATGAAATAGAATGAACAAAGTAGAGATTAAAATCCCTCAACAATGGTGTATTAGTAGAAATTATCCTAGCTTAGTGTCCTCGGTTGATCTCACTCCACTTGTCTGCAAAATTGAACTGTTGTAATGGTGTATTGATAGTGGACAAACACTATCACACAAGGGTTTCTCTTTTTAATAGACAATGGCATTGTCAAATGAGAAAAAAAATAACAACGAAAATGAGTAAGCTTAACAAATGTATCAATTGGAAAACCGATCAGCATGGGTTCATTACCGCAATGGGTCTTCTCAATTATAGCAATTAATGTTTTCCCTTCAGGAAAACCAACTAAAATCTAAGTGTGAGAGTTTCAAATTCAATTTTGAATATCTCAACTTTTTAACATTCTCCGAGATTAAGAAATAGGAAAAAAAAATATAAAAAGGTAGCCCTTCACATAAAAACAGGAGGAAAAAAAAGAAGAAAAGATATCTTGTAATCACAGGAACAAAAGAATATCTTGTAATCCCATACATACTAAAGAGGGAAATGAGCTGAAGTCTCAAGTATAAACTAAATATTTAAAGGAAAAATTTTTATTGAAGGGAAGGGCCAAAAAAAAAACTCTTAGCTTTCATTCAT